GTCTGTGGGTTGTGGGTCTGTTCTCTGACCGTTCTCCTGCTGGGGTCAGTCTAATTCCTGGTGACTGGGCTCGTTCTAATTCCTGAAGACTGACCGATCCTGTGTCCAGGAATTAGATCGGCCCAGTTTACAGGATTTAGACTAATTCCTGTGAACTGGGCTCGGTCTAATTCCTGGAGACTGGGTCAGTCTAATTCCTGTAAACTGGGCTCAGTCTAATTCCTGAAAACTGGGCCCGTCTTATTCCTGTAAACTGGGCTCAGTCTAACTCCTGAAGACCGTTTTTGGGGGTTTTTTCTTTTTTTTTTAACATTTTGCAGGTGTCAGATTAAAGCATTTGAACCTTGAATATCCGGTCTTTTAACTTTAACTGTAAGTCTGAAACATGTCCACCCCGTGGGTTTGTTCTCTGACCGTTCTCCTGCTGGGGTCAGTCTAATTCCTGTAAACTGGGCTCAGTCTAACTCCTGAAGACCGTTTTTTGGTTTTTTTTTAAAAAATTTTTTTACATTTAGCAGGTGTTAGATTAAATAATTTGAACCTTGAACCTTGGGTCTAATTCTCTGACCGTTCTCCAGGCCGGCTGCCCTTCCGGCTGTGTGCGCGTTTCGGGGCGGGCGTGGTGCTGGTGAGCGAGCAGCAGCTCCGGGCGGCCGTGGCCTCGCTGTTCAGCGCCGGTCTGGTGGTCGAACCCTCGGGCGCCGCCGCCTTCGCCGCCATCGCCAACGACAGGATCCCCGAGCTGGAGGGAGGAGCGTGGTCTGCGTGCTCAGCGGAGGGAACGTCGGGAAGGAAGAACTCGCCCACTTCTGAAAACGCCCGAGAGGAGGGCCTAAAACTAGGAAAAACACCTCTTAATTGGTGTGTTTTAATCCAACCGAACGTTAATTTAATTGAACCCTCCTGGTGTCTTTGGTTCTTTTTCTGGATAAAACAACATCTGAGCCTCTGATTTAAACCAGAGTCCAGAGTCCTAAAACTAGAAAAACGCCTTTAATTAGAGCGTTTTAATCTAACCTAATCTAATCTAATCTCAGTCCTGACTGAGTTTCTGTCTGTTTGGGGCTGAAAACCAGCCGGATGCTTCCTGCTCTGGTTTCTAAACTCTGACAGAAACACCAACATCTGAGCCTCTGATCTAACCAGAGTCCAGAGAGTCAGAGTTTCTGGCTTTTTCCTGGAGAATTAGCTCTGATTTTCTCCTATATCATTTAAACCCTCGACTTTATTCCATTTAAAAAAAAAAGAAAACAATTTAAGTCACTTTTTAAGTTGTTGCTTTTTCCTGGAGAATCAACTCGCCCACTTCTGAAAACGCCCGAGAGGAGGGCCTAAAACTAGAAAAACGCCTCTTAATTGGTGTGTTTTAATCTAACCGAACGTTAATTGAACCCTCCTGGTGTCTCTGGTTCTGAGTTTCATTTCTAAAAAAAAGAAAACAATTTAAGTCACTTTTGAAGTTGTTGCTTTTTCCTGGAGAATCAACTCGCCCAGTTCCCCGACTGAAAACACCCGAGAGGAGGGCCTAAAACTAGAAAAAACGCCTTTAAATTGGTGTGTTTTAATCCAACTGAACGTTAATTGAACCCTCCTGGTGTCTCCGGTTTGGGGCTGAAAACCAGCCGGATGTTTCCTCTGGTTTCTAAACTCTGACAGAAACACCAACATCTGAGTCCAGAGAATCAGAGTTTCTCCTTTTTCCTCCAGAACCAGCTCTGATTTTCTCCTAAACATCATTAAAATCCCTACAAATTAGTTCCATACCTGTAAAAATCACCCAAAATAGACGTTCCAGCTCCATTTAAGGAACTTTTTCTGGATAAGACACCAACATCTGAGCCTTAATTAGAGCGTTTTAATCTAACTGGACATTAATTTAACCCTCCTGATGTCAACATCTGAGTAAGAGAATCAGAGTTTCTCCTTTCTCCTCCAGAATCAGCTCTGATCATTTAAACCCTCGACTTTATTCCATTTTAAAAAAGGGAAAACAATTTAAGTCACTTTTGAAGTTGTTGCTTTTTCCTGGAGAATCAACTCGCCCACTTCCCCGACTGAAAACACCCGAGAGGAGGGCCTAAAACTAGAAAAACGCCTTTAAATTGGTGTGTTTTAATCTAACCGAACGTTAATTGAACCATCCTGGTGTCTCTGGTTCTGAGTCCTGACTGAGTTTTTTCTGGATAAACACCAACATCAGAGTCCAGAGAACCAGAGTTCTGCTTCTCCTCCAGAATGAGGTTCACCTCCTGGATCAGCTCTGTTCAGCATCCAGA